ACTGACCTCCGTTCTTGTCCACCACTTTGTTGCGGGACAAAACTCCCGAATGAAACACAAGCATGTAGTTTTTCTGTCGGAGCCTAAATTTATAAATCTTGTTTTTATCTTGTGGTAGGTGCAATCGCAGCATTTTCCTAAAGCTGTGTTTCTCAATTCTAAGGGCGCACGACTCATTTCCTGGCTTCGATCTCTTCGATATGCTCACCTGAAGAAATGTTCTCGCAGGGTTTGTGACCGTTTTACGTGCCCTTCAGTGGCACATCTCGGGTTGCACTACGATATAACACCAGTTGTCGAGCACCTTTTTGATGATAAGTGGCGTCCTTCACGTAGCTTCCTCTTGTTAAGTCTGGCGATACATTAAGGTCCCGATTTTAATTATGCCGACGAAATCGGCTTGCTGTTTTACACATGGTCAACCCTTAGTCCTACCTGGAGTGATTTCACCTTTTAGCATGCTCCTTCATTGCACTGAGAGTTGCTGCAAAACCACCAACGAATTAATGATCCCATGACCCTTGATGATAAGGAAGTGAGGCTTATTGATGCACCCATGTACAATGATAGTTGTATTAATGGCAACGGATGCATCACTTCAGAGGTTAACTCACTGATTAATCTAGAACCGCCTTCACGAATCAGTGGTATCTATAGCTCCAGGATATACTTCCTCTGTTCTTAATGGACTTTTACGCGGAACCAGTCCGAGGATTTGCTCTTCCCGTCTGGCTATCACACGTACTGTAAGATCTTTGCCATATTTGAGGCAGTGTTTCAGTGGTATCTTCGAATTTTGTTTTACGGTGAAATATACAGGCGAGGGCTAGACAGCGGTGATCAGGTTAGTTTATTAGATCGACGCATAAATGAAGTTAATTATTTTGTTCCGAATACTTGGCATATATGCTCCCGCACTGCCTACCGCGTAGGATCTTCATTGCAATGTCTAAGATGGCGTAGGCTCCCAGCGTTATTGATTAGGCCGATGTGGAGAAATAAGTCACTAACTGCAGCATTGTCTTGTTTATCTGCTGATTACCATCATTTTTCGGCTTCTAACCTCTTGCCGTTTGGTTTTCCTTGTTTGACAATCTGCTGAACTTCGTTTTCTTACTGATTTATTCGATTTTTATTTCTTAATTTCCTCTGCTTTTGCATCCCTTTGTTTTGTCTTCTTGCTTATCATTTACGGTTTTGATGCAACGCAAGAATGAGCAGCAATGTCTACCCTACCGCCTTTCTACCCCGGCGGGTACTCTCCAGCGCGGTCAATCCGACTTTCCATAGCCTCTATCTCAGCTGTTCTCAACTTGGAGGTAATTACCCCGAAAGGGGTAAAATGGACTTTTACGGTGGGTAAGTATAGCTACGACGATTGGGTCAACAATCTGTTGCCAAACAAATTCTTCTGTATCAAGACACGTAACTAACTACCTAATCACTATTTACAGCCATCATTGACTAATCATTAGTGAGTAGTTACTGCATTTGACACTTTTCTGTACAAATTCCATTACCTAAAATGCGAATACAAGCCTGAAAAGCAGCGCACCTAGGTGGTACCCCTATCGGCTGGCTTTTCCATCGTTGTTCTTTTTATTCTGGCAGTCGTTCATCACTTGGAGTTAGATTTGTGTGAACAGTAGGGTCGGCCGACCAGGTAAAGAAGTTAGCAAATGTTCACAAGGTAGAAAGGACGAAACAGGCGATTAGTGTTCTGGTTGTATTGATACAGTGTGGTGGTGGGAAGCTGTCCTTCAGACCGGACTAGGAACAGATGGTTTAAACATTTGAGAAGCCTCGGACATCTATGCATGTTCGATCAAGGCCACACACCAAAGCAAAAAACCAAATGAACTTGGAGCTTGACTTAGGATGTACATTAGCTGAAGTCGCACTGAATATAGCAGCGATTGTTGGAATTAGTCAATATGAACCGTATTATTAAGGTTTATCACCTCTTAATTATTTAAAAATTGTTCAAAATAGGTGCTTTTCTCTTTGAATGATTGAAAGTACTTACAAATAGCATTGATTTTCATCACTCTAAAGCAAACTATGCAATATCTAATAGTTACTTAGCTTTTTAAACCATATTTTTGTTGGGTAATTTTTGGTAATGAACTCGTGTTGTTGAGAAGTTGTCGTGAATACTGAATACTGGTTCGCAGCAGCGAGTAGAACTTTCTCTGTGTAGCTGCATCATTCGTCGCTCTTGGACATATACTCCTTATGTTCCGTTTCGCTCTCTATATTTTGCCTCTGCAAAGTGTTTGTCAAGGAGCTTCTTAAATTCCGACACTGAGTTCGCCTCTACTATGTTCTGCGGCAGGTCGTTCCAAACACTCACCACTCTGTGTTCGAAACATAGTTGGCGAGCAACACGCTTCAAATCCGGTACGATAAGTTTATACCGGTGTCCTCGCGTGCAGCTTGGTGTGCGCAGATGAAGCAGTTGTCTCAACATGGGGTAATCACTCAGATTTAATATCCGGTGCGTCATGATGAGGTCAACCCTCAGCCGACGATAAGCTAGGTTGTACAGCCCTAGTTTCTTATATCGGTCTTCGTATGGCACACTCCGTAAGTTGGGAATCAGCCTGGTGGCTACATGCTGCACTCGCTCAAGCTTTTCTACCTCGCCCCGGGTGATGGGACAATACGCGGGAGAGCCGTACTCTAGCACTGGTCGTATTATCGAGACGAAGAGGCGAGTGGCAATCTCTTCGGACCAAGTGCTGAAGCTGCGCCTGAGGGCCCAAAGCATCCGAAGGCCGTTTTGGTACAGTCTATTCGTGTTGTCAATGGACTTTAGATCGCAGCGTGACAGTACACCGAGGTCGCGCACGAAAGGCGAGGGATGCAACGGTTGACCAGCCACTGTAGCTTCGGCTGTGCTCAAACTTACCTAGCCTCATGAATTGCGACTTGGCAGGGTTGATCGGAAGGTTAACCTCTGCAGACCATGTTGAGAGGCGGTCGAGGTCCTGCTGAAGTAAATCACAATCATTGAGTGTGTGGATTACTCTCCACACCTTCAAGTCATCTGCGAACAACGCACAAGGTGATTGGAGTAGTTGAGACACATCGTTTGCATGGATCAGAAACAAAGTCGGCCCCAGTACAGTGCCTTGGGGCACGCTGCTGCTCGATGGATACCAGTCGGTTAGATGGTTGTCCACCTGGACCCTCCACTTCCGATCAACAAGGAAATTTCTGATCCATTTGCGCAGCGAACCACCAACACCGCACATCCTCAGCCTGTCAACGAGCACTTCATGGTTAACCTTGTCAAAAGCCTTACTGAAGTCAATGTAAATGACGTCGACCGACTGGCCTTGGTTCATCGCTTGTAACCATTCGTGCCTCGTCAACAGCAGGTTGGTGATGCACGAGCGACCTTTCATGAAACCATGCTGTGCAGAGGTCAACAGGTTTTTCGACTCCAGAAGCTGCAGAAGGCTCTTCTTCACGATCTTCTCGAGCGTCTTTGCCAAAACAGCGGTCAGGCGGATCGGCCGGTAGTTATCCACTTTGCTTGGGTTACCACCTTTCGGTATGGGCTTTACGACTGAGCATTTCCAGTCGTCCTGTAACAGTCCAGTGGATAGTGACAGTTGAGAACCACTGCCATATTTGCTATTCTGACGATTTCGACTTAATTGTCTTGTTTTGCACTCAGTAACATACTCCATTAGAAAATTGGACATAGAGTAAGCGGTCCCAACGTGTTTTTACATCGAATCTATAAACAGTGACGTCAATGTCTTGCATTTAAGCGATCGATTTCCTGAGTTTAATCCCACCAAGCAGAAAATCAGAGATATAACTGAATCTATCGCCATACTCTGAGTGGCGCCGCATAGACGATCATGCTTGGTGCGATCATTGACGCGATTCGATTGGCTCACATGTGATTGATTGCCCCATCTCCTCCGTATCACTCAGTTCGTTCCTTCGCATCTGCCACTGTCTAAGCATCTGGTATCACCGCTCTTCTAGTCCAACTCATATTTTCACATCTCACGCCTAGGTTATTCTTCTTGTTGCTTTTGAGCTGTGTCCGACTATCATTTTTCCTGCGCATTTCTTCTTCCCTTTTTACTTATCGAACTGCAGACTGCGACACCTTTTCCTCACTCATATTATCCTCCGTAGCTGTCTCTTGAACATTTTGCGCAGCTTTCTGCGATGGATACTGGTGCCTGGATTTTCACTACTGCAATACGATCTTCCGCCGCGAGTATTAAATTGGCTAGGGCGGCCAATTAGGCCAAGTAGTTTGGCTTCACAACTGTCTAGCTGGTTGGCCAAATACCAGTCGCCCTCCATCGATACCACGCTGCAAATGCCATTCTAGTAAACCCATTAGTCACAATTCTACACCGTTTTGCCTGTTGGCTCTGACAATCCAAAACCATCGGAAACATCTACCACGTCATTGTATTTTGTGCGTGATGTCGAAACTGTATGCTCCCGATACCATCAATGTATATGGATGCTGGGCGCCACCGAAACTTCTAATTAGACTGCATCATTTTTTTCCTTCAATAGGTATTCCGCGAAGGACCGGTTTTATGGCACGTATTCTCGTCGCTTATTTTCCAAAGCATATGCAAATTCATAACTGTCCCCTCAATATGAACGCGGTACCAGATTAGTATTTCTTTATTTGCCGTTTACAGGCACTGAACGATGAGGACGCCTTGATGTTAAGCCTAATTTCACCGGTCCCATCGGCCCACTGAAACAATCGTCATTGTGTTTACATGCCATTTACTTGACCAATTGATCGTATAGAATCATCTATTCGGAGAACTCAGGGGCTTCTGGTTTGTGAAAAGTACTCAACTTAGCACTAGTTGATTAAAAGGGCTGTGTGTGGCGCAAGCTATACTTCGGGAATTGGAATTCTTATCTCTTTTTGTCTCATCGATGCCCTCCTCCAATCCACTAATGCTTAGGTCTATCTGTTTGTTCTCTTCAACCCATCTCAGTTCCAACTTAACCAACCCCCACTCAGTCATCCAGAGGATTCTGTTGGCCCCACCGTGAGCGATGGTTGCTGATTTCCCACATACTTCCAGAGACTCCTCGGTTTACGGTGTTTTCAACACCTAATCTATACTGTGATGTTCCAATTTTTATGCCAGTTTAACTTGCTTATCAACAGTACCGTTTTATTGGCGAGTGTTCAACCGTGCTTCTGATCAACGGCTTTGTTGTTTTTACCTTCTCTCGCTCAGATGCTTATACTAGATTTCATTCCCGAGGCACATCATCTCATTTAAAATGTTCTCCTTCCGCCAGCCTCTTTCGCCGGTGTATCGAGCTCTTGTTTTCTGTAGATTGCACACAACTTTACTGTTCACTGGCTACTGCTTATGTTACTACATTACTCTGCCTGGGCACTGGTTCACCCTCCCTAATTTTGGTTCCAATTCGCCTGACGCCTTAAATCCCCTCTTCGTTGTGTTTGCACAGTAGTTGCTGCTTTCGCTCTCCTTCGGAATCCTTCTTGTACATTGTTCGCCATGTTTTTCCCACCTTTCCCTATCTGGTTTAACCAATGCATTTTATCTTCACCTAAGTGTTATGCCACAGGTGATCAAGGGTTATGGTTACTCGCTAAGACTTACTTTGTTGCTTGCCGTACTCTCCTTATTGTGGGCTTCCCCAACCCCAATTGTTTATTTACTAGTAACTTTGTTCTTCGTACGATGAGGGAAGCACGATTGCACTGTGGTGGGCTCTCTACACTGCACGAGTCGATGTATTGCATACAATAGCCATTTTTACGGGAATCATGTATGGGTTTTGCTATCACACACAGATACGATAAAACGCCTTCTACTCCTTAATAGATCAATCTCAATCACGCATATCCAAAACTTGAGTTAGGCGGTACATCCTGTGCATGCACTACGATAAGTACCCATATGGGTATATTCCAGTACAAACATCTGCCTTTCGGATTTAGTTCGGCACCGCCGATATTCCAAAGGATCACTGATAAGTTCATCAGAGATATTCCTTTCACTTGTGTTTATCTGGATGACATTCTTTTTATAGGATGCACGGATGCTGGACACTTCCGAGCGCTATCCGCTGCATGAATGTCTACAGCTAAGTGGACTCAAACTGAAGAAGTTCATCAGTACATTTTTCTCATCTTCCCTTCATTACCTGGATTATTTGCTTGGTAAAAATGTATTACACTAGTTCCTTTCTCATTTTCGTCGCTTCTTGTCCCATACCTCGACAATGTGCACACCTTTGTAAGAACTGTTACACAGTAGAAGGTTCTAGACTTGGGTCCAGATAAGGTCTTTTGCTGTTGTAGAAGTCCGCATGGTTCATCCACCTTTCTCTTGCGATCCTCCCATCCGGAAAGATCTCTAGTGGTACATTGTGACGCATGTCAACACGGAATCGGTGCAGTTCTTTTCCACCTGGTGCATAGCGGTTCTCTTCGCCCAATCACTTTTGCTCCCCATACTCCGCAACCCACCTAGGGGAATTACCCCCAATTGGACAGAAAGCATTAACCATTATCTTTGATGTCAATCATTTCCACCAGGATGTCTGGCGAAGATATTTCGATGTCTACACGGACCACAAACCACTTCTTTCGCTGTTGGGCGTGGTCTAAGGGGCCTAACGGATATCCTCGCTCCGAATGCTGATATGAGGGCTGCTCTTGAGTAACCATAAGTACAATCTCCAATTTGTAACTGGATTTTGTAACACTACGGCCGATGCGTCGAGTCGCCTACCGCAGCAGCGGGTCACGACATCGAAAATGCCCTCCTGGTGTCTATCAATCTGATAAAACATCCAGTAAAGACACTTATTTACAGTGAGCTGATGCGACAACTGAAGGACCAAGGTCCTGTGTTATTACTCCTAAAGTACTTTTATTGGTCGGATGTCCTACCGACACGGCAATGGCACCGAAACTATATAGAAATGCGATTTACGATCGATTTAGCTTCAAATGGAACAGAGCGGAGATTCTAGCTTCAGCAACAACACAGAAAGGAAGGGAATTCCTAGAAGCATGGTACTCCGCTAATAATTCGTTCAACGTGCGCATCGACGTCGATCCCGTGTTCTATCAGCTGAGAAAGAATGACCTCCGGAGAAGAGAAAGCCATAATTCAGCCGCGGGAAAGAATGTGCGGAGATCACGAGGTGTAAATCGAGATTGCTACTTTCAAATGTCGCCTACCCGTCGATCATGGAAGGACGATTCAATAAGCAGGATTGCATACTGTATATCGCCGCACTGACGATGTTACCTAGCATGGTGGCGAAAAGTATGGAATCCCTTTATCAAGCTTGGAGAACCGATCAACAGGTGAGAAATCAACCCGGGCCACCAGCGTTCCAAATTATTCCCCTAGGTCAATCCACCCATGGCGGTGTCTGGAGAGGCCGGGGCAGCTGGAACAGGTTTACTACTTTGGCTCGAGCAGTGAGATGATGTGTCTACTTTTGGTTCATATCCATCCTAAATTTATGAAAGTGAATCCGGTTTCACATTGTACTTCTGAATTAACATTTGCAAAAATACACGCCTATATTCGCCATATCTAGCATCCCAGATACGGTTTGCACTGGTAGCGGGACACCATTTACTGTTGAGGTGTTTAAAAGATTCTTGAGTAGCCATGGAATATGACATATGAATCCCGTCCCTTACCATCACGCGTCGAACGGGTTAGCAAGCCATGTGGTCCGGACCACTAAGCAAGTTCTCAAACGGAACTATGAAACTCTGGAAAGTTAAATCGTTTGCTGCTGACCTACTGTACGAAACCAGCTGAGTTAATGTTTGGCAGGTCAGCACCCACGGGACTGCACCTACTTTTCCCAAATCCCAGAAGAAACATGGAGGCGAAGTAGGGAAAGATGCGATACCAGATGTGATGTGTCTCAAGGGTTCTGATCCGGTGTGTGCAAAGCCACCTCACAAAGTAAGTTGGTAACCAGCTGCACTTCTGTCCACATGTAACCAATTGGAGCTGCAGCTGGTATGTGCGCTGCCGCTTCGACCATGTTCAATTGTTCTCAATCGAGCACTGTGACCCGAGTCAGCAATTGACCGATGCCGACACACGAACGCATGGAGATATGCTCACACAGAGTGGCGCGGAACAACCCCCACCGAGATAGTCCAAACACGCGCACCACCCAGTTGATCGGTATCAACACTGGGTCTGCATTCTTTAACATGGAAGAGAAGGATGTCAGAAACTGAGTTATCGCTCATGTTCACGTGACTGACCGACATTCAAGCTTGTCTTCCTTATTTCATTGGTTCTCAGTTTCGGGTTTTTGCCACCGTAAAGTAGGATGATTTTATTATACAGTTACCCGCTTCAACTGCGCCTTCTGTTCCGTCTACCGCACCAGGAGCCATGCTTAACAGGTGGTTTTCCCTACCATCCTTTATTCACCTCTTTGAGGCCACTGAACGTTCAAACGCGCGCCATTACAGTAGCCACCCTTGTTTTAAACGTTAATTTATCGGTATAAATACTATGCTTTAGTAATGAAACTGGTAGTCTCGTCAAGCGACGTTGATACATGTTTTGTCTTTTTCCTACTTGACCTTTCTCGCAAATACTTTATGCCTTGACTGCTGTGATCGTTGTTATTCTCGGGGTCGCCCTGAGCTCTCTCTGTTGCACGTTAGGGATATCGCATCGACCGATCAATCCGTTTGCAATATCGTCCATCTAAGCTCCTGGTTGATTTAACTTTCTTTTGTCACTGTCCCATACATCGTTCTGTTCCGTTCAGTGGATCATCTATAACCCGAGCGCCGAATTGCGGTGGATCCAGTTGCCAGGACTTACACCGCATGAATAACAATAAAATCACCGGTAGCGTACTGGCCTTGGATGCAAATAGAATGTAGAGGAAATGACAACAAGAAGCAAATGCGTCAGATTAATCAGAATGGAAAGAAGATTAACAACCGGTTGTCGAGTGCCGAATGCAGGAACACCACTGACTTCGTGACTACGCTATGTCTGACAGATATGGTCCGTTCTGAGGCTCCAATCTAGGAAGACGGCACGCACCCGCCTGTCCAAGTCTCAGTCGATTTCTTCAAACGTCTATGCCATGTCATGGACTGCTCACCTTGAGGTTTAGTTTAGTTTTGTGCAGCCACGGCGTATAATGCTCTCCGAGAGTGCCGATCAGTGGGCACATGGAGGACATGGCCTAGCCAACGCAAGCGATTCAGATTTAACAGAAACTTGATAGAAGCACCAGAAGCTTTCTTGCCAAAAACCAACTGGCGGACCTCAGCATTGCTCATCCTGTTCCCACCAAATGTAAACATTGCTTCGCAAGCCCCGGTGGTCAAACATGGCCAACCGTTTAATGTCTTCATGTCCCCATACAATGTGTCAAGTTAACGGCCTTTCCAATTCGAAACCATGTAGTGAGCTACCTCCACTTCTGTCGTCAGAGTTCCACACACCAATACTTTATTCAACTACGTTTCGCTAACTACCACATTTGTAGACACCTGATACGTCATCTCACCCTCTCTCTTGTCAGTGCCGGCCTTAGAGATCACAAGCCTTCCTTGTAATCTGAGGGCGCGGGTTCGAGCCTGCGGCCTTCGCAGTATCCTTAGGCCACGTGCAACTGGTGGTGGTTGCGCAGCAGCGAATACTCGGTATTGCATACCAGCGTACGGCTGATGCCTTTTTTCTGTCTTGTCATACCACTAATTTCTTTAATCCAGACTGCAACGTCTGTTTGATTTCCTCAACGCGATGGACCGAACCTTAGCGTGATGCAGCGGCTTAGATATCCCTCCGGATGCTACCCTTTGTGAAACGTCATACATATTCGGTTTCCTGTTCCTCCAAGTTGGAAGTGGGGTGGCAAGCATATTTATGAAACTGGGTTGCCACCGTATTCCTTCTACCTTCCATTTAGGCTATCGAGTCAGAGGCTGCGTTAGCCCTATAATCATTCAACTATCTAGGTTCGTGTTCCCCCTTAGTATCCCTGTCTGTAGATAACAGACTTCGGCGTCGTGGCCCTTGGTGCTTCTCACGAGGGAACTTCCTCTGATTTAATTTGTTCCCCTGATCTTCATCGCGAATTTCCACCATCGATAGCTAACCCGTTTCGAAGACTCCCGCACCTAATCAACATGCATGTCACACCTACGTACATTAATCTACTCAACAGCCCACTCCATCATGACAGTATCCACAGACTAGATGGCGGGAATGTCACTGGGACTGTGTATACTTGGTGAATTTCCGGCTGGTACGTTCCTCGGCAGCGGTCAGCAGTTTCCTGAACAATAAGCAATGATTTATTACGAGTAAACGGGTGCCTAACACGTTTCGCAGGGTGCTTAGGATGAAAACAACAACTTCAAGAGATGTGTGTTGTTGGTTTAGACGCTTACCGCTGTAAATTGGTGGTTTCAAGATGATAATGCGGAGTAAAATTTAGATGTCTGCCTCCAAAACTGTGAAGAACAGTTGTACTAACTGTTTTCTGGAAAAAATAAGTACACTCACTCATCTACCGATCGTTGGTGTCC